AGAAATTCTCGGTTGATTGTAATGTTGGTTGGAGGGCTTGCCTCGCTATCGCTGCTCGATCGGGTAAGGTTAAGCACGCGGCGCGAAATATCACGTATGCGTCTTAAGGCGTCCGCGGCGTATGGAATCGCGGAAGTCTCTTCGGCGTCCGGTGTTCGTGTATTTAACGGCAACGGCGAGTTACCGGGGGTCAACGTTATGCGAGGTTGTCCGTCCTGGGACATTTGCGGCTAATATGCTATTTGTTACGCAATTGGTGACATGACTCGCAGGTCATGTTCGCGCTTAGGCATAAATGAGTGCGGATTCTCGCTACGATGCAACGCTGCATGTTGTCATCCGCTGTCCTGACTGCTTGGCTGCTCGTCGTGCGGTAGGTCAGTGCCGTCTCGGGTTGAGCTGATCTCCGCGCGGTGAGTCGGTGCCGTCTCCGGTTGCGCTGCTAGCGTCTGCGTGCAGGGCTGATCGGGCTGTCGTCGTGAAGAGCCGTTGGTGCCGTTTCGGGTCCTCCGCAGCTACCGGGTGTTCTTGACGTATCGTCGAGGGTTGGCTTACGCCGGTTACTGGTAGCGTCTGCTTACGGGGAGTGTTGAACAGGGCGCCGTGCTATGCGTGGTGCTGTCTGAAGTCGTCCGTAGCTACCGGGTGTTCTTGACTTGTCGTCGGAGTTTCGCTTACGGGGTTTCCGTTGGTCTTGTAGACTCTGTATTACGGTTTCCCTCTTTTCGAAATTTTCAGTTGCTGGTCGTCTCGGAGTCGAGGTGGATGGGAGGCAGATCCCACCGCTGCCACCAGATTGTTGTGCCTCTCGACGCAGTCGGGGCACGGGATGTGATTCGGGATCGTTTGCCGGGTTCACACAACGACTCTAGGTCGACGATTCAACAACCGTTTTAGTAAAAAGGCTTCTTTATTCAGAACTAGTATAATTCTTGCACTCGTGTTAACAGCAGTTAACCGTATCGTTACTTAGTTTAGATTGACCCGCCTTCCTTCCTTTCCATTCCATTTTATATCAATCGCGCTTGGCCCTGTTGTTAGGCCGTTTATTGTTTAGTAAGCAGTTCTTCCGTTAGCAACTGTATGCGCGGCTTTGATGGTTTCGTACTTTGCTCCGGATACTCGTTTTCGTCGCATGCGGCAGGGGTTATCTGATACCTTGCCGCGTGCGAGGTCGTTGTCTGATGTGCGGTACATCGCACTCATGACAATACCAACAATAGTCATTTAATAATAGAGGTAAGCACAAGAATGAAACCATAACAATTCCAATATATATTTTATTACAAATTATAGTGTAGAATATACAAAGTATAGTATAGAAGAGAGTGAGTATAGAGAAACGGAACGACACGTTCTTATTGTGACTCGGCTTTAAATAAACATTTAAAATACAAAAACTAATTCAAAATTTTAGTAATTGTTTTGCCACGATACTTTTCCCTCTTCACTCAAAAAGTACAAAGAAAATTCTTCTGTTATTTGTTTGCCAAGCACACTAGCTTTCCTTGGAACCCTTTTAAGTTTTAGTAAAGTGCCATTTGGTTGGCCTACAACTCTCCATTCGCCAGGTATTAATTCACCGGTGACTGTGTCTTCTGAGTCAAAAGTTCCTGGTGGACAGTACGATGAAGACGATTGACTCTTCCGCAAGAAATTGTGGAGATAAGCACATGCTAAAACTATCTTTTCTGCCTTTTCAGGCTCAAGAAGCATTGGTTTTCTTAAGACTCTGAACACAGTAGATATTATGCCAAACACATTTTCAACGATACGCCTTGCTCTGTTGTGTCTACCGTTGTAAATTCGCTCTGATGAACCTTTAGATTTAGTACCTGGGAAGGGTTTCATAATGTGTGGTTGCAAAGGAAATGCATCATCAGCTAGAAACACAAAAGGTGTCGGCGACGTTCTTCCCGGTAGAACTCTCATTGATGGCAAATTCAAAGATGACGTTTCAAGCAGCTCTTTAAATTTTGTATTCGCAAATACACCACCGTCAGACAAACGTCCTTGACATCCTACACTCACAAATCTAAAGCAGTAGTTAGCATCCACTATAGCTAAAAGTACAATGCTAAAAAATCCCTTATAATTTAAGTAGTCGCTGCCACTTTTTATTGGAGCTTGTAAACATATATGTTTTCCATCAACACTGCCACAACAGTGGGGGAAATTCCACTTGTTGTTAAAATCATTTGCAACTGTCAGCCATTCTTCTTGAGAATTAGGTACCTAAAAAAAAGTATTAAATTTATTTTAAAAATATACTTATTTTCATTTTTTAGAATGATGGACAATTAATCAATGAGTTACATCTACAAGTGCAAGATAATACAGGAAGCTGTCAACAAAAAACTGTGGACAAAAGCATTCCTCTCTCTCTCTCGCACCAAGCACCAAGCTTGCAAGCTTGCAAGCAAGCAAGCAAGCAAGCAAAAAGCACTAAGAGGAAAGCAGACGAGATGTGTGAAGAAGCGTACATGATAATGAAACAGTTATCAAATAACGTGAAGAAACGAGATGAGTTTGACGTGTTTGGGGAACATGTTGCGAATACTTTGCGAAATCTAAAAAGCAGATCAGTTCAAAGCCACACAAAATTTGAGATAAGTAGCTCTCTCTACCGAGCTGAGATAAATGACCAGCGAACATCAAATAGCACACCTGGTCCATCTATACGCTCTGATACATCTACACCTATCTTACTTGATGCTACACCAGATGCATCAAACAATTCATGGAGCACAGAAAAAAATGATGGGAATACTGGTGATTTCGGAATCGTTTTAATGGATTTATAAGATGACTTACTATTTTTATAAATTTATTTCATATCAGTCTAAATAAAAATGTTTAAAAAGATTGTCATATACTTACTTTGATTTGATCCTTCAAAAAGTCGATGAGAGCTTCGCATACTTCTGGCACAATGTTTGAAATGCTCTGCTTTGATATTTTGAACAAAAAACTTAAACTTTGGTAGGAATCTCCACTTGCTAAAAACCTTAATGTAACTGCTAGTCTTTCTCTTACTGGTATTGCATTTCGAAATGTTGTGTCTTTTCTACCTATCTTATGGCCGATTTTGTTTATGAGGTATTCAAAATCAAAACTTGTCATCCTTGCAAAGTTTTTGAAACTACCGTCACACCGAATTTCTCCCGTCAATATATCTCTGTCATCTCTTTCAAGATCTGCTATAAGGATTGTGCCACTATATTTTTTTCGAGCTTCTAATGATGGTCGCACCCAGAATCGCCGTTTAGTTCTAATATGTTGTCTAGTTAAAATTACACAAGCTGCTGCTGCGAGAATTGCATCCTCTACGTTTGACGCCATTATGAATACTGAGATGAAAAATGTTTTACAACTTCTACATAAAATGATTGTTACAAAAATAGTGTCCAATAACAAGTTATATGAAGTCATATAATAAGTTATACAACAATGTTAAAAACAAAACAAAAACATATAACATGTTTTGTTATACATATAATGTAGACCCGGCTTTAGTAACGTTGAAGTAACATAATTTTCTCTTCTAACTGCAATGTAATAATGTTATCTAACTGTTTCATTATTGTGTTATTTCCTGGTTATTATTACTGTACAGCAATATAACTCAAACATAACACGTAATATAACAAGTCACATGTTATCGCTACTTTGCCGTTATACAACGTGTTATATAGACATGTTATATTTACGTTATGGCATGTATATAATAACATGAATATAACATAAACGTTATAAACGTCCCCGCTTTTACCGCCATTGATCACCGCAGTGGCGCTCTCGCATTCTTCTCGTCGTCTGTCGCCGGTACGTCGTGTGAGCCGCGTGTGCGTTTTTTTCTTCCAAGGTAATCGTTAATTTTTACACTCAATCTTAATTAAAAGTATTAAAAATCAGTAATATTATAATGCAATATAGGTATATTTGTGTATATTTTTGTTAGTATTCCTGTTTTGCAGTTAGTTTTTGTGAAAAATGGTGTCGTAGGTTAGGTGTGCAAAAGTCGTGTGCAAGTATACAACGCCGGGTCATTTTCGCTTCTATGACATTTAGAAATGTTTATCATTATCAAACGTACGAGGCACTAAAGATAATTAATAATGAAAAGTCTTTTTAAATTCTTCGTAAAAGTGGACGTGACCCTGTATCTTGCGATGCAGCTTGTGCCTGTAAAATCTACCGTCCCACTAAAGCTAGCAGAACACGATGCTTTTTGCCTGCCGGATTGCTTGCTAGCTCCCATAGACATGGCGATTCAAAAACCTAAAGGGTACGTATGTCAAAGAACTAGTAAACTCGACAAACGCCCTTAGGGCGGCGGTAATGGCCTTCACTCAAAAGGCCGCGGCCTCTACGCAGGAAGCCACAATCCCCGAGAAATCCAGGGGAGAAAACGGCGGACTCAGAGAGAGAGTCAGGAGTCTCGAGAGCCAGCTGGCCAAGGCGGAAAGCGAGAAGGCGAAGGCGGAAGACAAGTCCAGGCCCGGACAGGAAGAAGCCGAGATGGAGCTAGATGTGGGAGAGGCGGAAACGCTTCCTCCACCGGTCCCTAAAATCACCGAAGCCAAAAGACCGGTGGTGATCATCAAGAGGATTGAGCCCTTTAAGGAAGCGGTAAAGGTCCTCCGCCCTGAAGTTCAAGGGCGAAAGAAGGAGATGGGGGAAAGCCGCGAGGAAGCGATGGAGGGTATTAGGCAGGTGATGGAGGGAATCTCCATCTCTGCGATCACGAGCGAGACAGACCCAGCCTCCATGCGCGGAAAATTGGAGGATGTAATCCTCCGATGCCAGGGGGTAATGTCCAGACTCCCAGTCAGGAAGAACAAGGACAAGGACGAGGAGAGGAAGCCCCATCCAGAGGAGAAAAAAGCCGACGATGTCTCCCGACAAACCCGTTCCGATAGGAAGAAGGGAGGAAAGTCGGGGGGCAGAGTGGACGAAGCTAAGGGTACATCAACCAAGCCCGACAAGGAGATGCCGAAGCCGCAAAGGGTGCCGAGACAAGCGCAGACGAAGACGCTGCAGAAGGAGGAACAACTGAGGGAGAAAAAGGCAGACCCTCCGCAGCGTAAAGGCAATTACGCGGAAGCCGCAAAGAAGCCGGCGAAGAGGGCGCAGCCCGCGGAGAGGAAAAGTGCACCCCAAAGGCCAAAAGGGAGCAATGAGGTGAAGAACGCTCCCAAGAGGAAGGAAGCCGCGACTCAACCAGCGGGCAAAGGGAGGGGCCCTGAACAGCGGAACCGAAGGACCCCGAGAAGCGAGGCGGTGTCGATCATGTTCCCAGCGAGAGAGTTCGCGCAGGGGATGAGGGACATTAGGTCCAAAGTGAACCTGGACGAACTGGGGATCGGCCCCCTCAAACAGAGGAAGGCACGAAACGAAGTAACAGACCCGACTAATCTTTTGTTACGACCATCGACGTGATACATCAGAAACAAAAGTACGTAGAAACGTAGATTCATTTGTTTCTGATGTATCACGTCGATGGTCGTAACAAAAGATTAGTCGGGTCTGTTACTTCGTTTCGTGAACGTACTGTGTAAAAATCTTCTGTGTAAAAATGGCACATAATTATACGAACGAGGAGATGACCGACATGATTCTCCTTTATGGGAAATACGATCGGCGACCACGAGAAGCCGCGAGGATGTATGCTCTTACATATCCAGAGCGAAAGCATCCTAATCATGTGTTTTTTATGAGGCTGGAGTCGAGGATGCGAAAATTTGGTCAATTTAAACCTATCAAGCGTCCAGGTATATATTTATAAGATTATCTGCCAATATTGTTTCTTTATTTTCTGTTAATATTTCAATTCGTATACTATACTTGTATCATTATTTCCATTGCTTTATTACTTTCTTAAAGGACTAACACCACAAATAAACAGAGCGCCAATTCAGCAAATGGTTGTCGACGATCCGACAATAAGTACGCGAACCATAGCACGCTCCCAACAAGTTAGTCAGACAACAGTTTGTAAGGTTCTAAAATCGGCTCACTTTCATCCATATAAAGTAGTTCTGACCCAAGAACTGTATCCTAATGATAAACCCCGTAGGCTGGCGTATTGTCGCTGGCTCCTTAATGTGAGTGAAGAAAATTATTATTTCTCCAAGTACATTCTTTTTTCAGACGAATGTACTTTTAAAAACAATGGCATCGTCAACCGCCATAACTCACATTATTGGGCCACCGAGAATCCGCACTGGATGCAACAAGCACATAGCCAAATCAGGTGGTCGGTGAACGTTTGGGCGGGTATTCTC